AATTTGAATTTGCATATCAGTAATTGATGGTCTGTTCCACAGTCTGCACCTGGTCTTGTCTTCACTGATGATATGGAGCTTTTCCATCTTCTCTTTCTTTACTTATCCTATTGGTGGTTTACTGTCCGACTCGCCACACTAGATTTTCAGTTATAAGAGGGCAAAGACCTTCATCTGCTTTATCCAATGCACAGGAAGAAAGCATGATACTTAGTGGGGGTTCCGTAAATACTCGGGTGACATGACTGACTGCCAGTCCTCTTTTCCAGTTCTCAGCAAGACAATTTCCTTTACCTCATGTCTGGTTAAGAAATGGTCTACTCTTAGGCTAAATGGACGAGGAAGGCAGGGAGGTAGGACCAAGGTACGAGTGTGAATTATACTTGGAAGATTAACATGCAGCATGGAGTTTCACTGGGAAAATTCTGGAGCTGGGAAGTGAACAAATTAGGAGAAGGTACGCATCCCAGCCACCTTGGGCCAGGTATTAAGGATTTCACCTAAACACCTCAGGTGTGGAAGGATTACTTTGTTAAGCAGCTATAATTCTGCCACAAAAGCCTTGACTATATTTCATAAACTGCAACAGTATGGGTGAAGTGAAAGCCTGCACTCTCTCTGGCAGGAAAAGACAGGGAAAAATAGAGCCAGAACTTGAAAGACCATTAACTAAGTTCTTGTTCAAGATGGAGGCTTGATTGGTGGTAATAAATTAATGGGTTTAAGCCATTTAATCTCCAGGGAAAAGGGCTGTTTTAACAATAACTCAGAAAATACTGTACATTTATGTAATGAGTGTGAAAAGTTGTAGTCCTTCCCTGATGCCATTTGGATTTATATTGACGATGCATGTTGATCAAATTAAAGGGGATGGGCCTTCACCAGGGATCACTTTGTCTTTTAATGGCCTTTGCGTTAAAATGAGAAAAGTGCACAGAGATGTGGATAACTACATAATAGCATCTTGCAAGCAACTTGTTCTATAGATCTGGATTTTTCTCATATTCTAGATGCAGTTACACTTGAAAGTTCCAGATGTTTTACTGATAGCCTAAAAAATGGATGCAAATGACACAGCCAGCTGTGCAATATGGACAGATGCTAGTGACATGTTCAGATGATGGTGAGACTGTGTATGTGCTATGTCCCAACGACCTTGCTAATAATCCCCGGTGGCCTTTCTGACTTGGTCTGTCACTCTCCCCTGACACTCTCAGTCTGGTGCACTGGTCTCCTTGCTCTTCATATACACACAAGGAACGGATGCTGCAAGCTTAGGGCTTGCACCTCTCCGTTCTGTCCACCCAGACACTTACTGCCCTTAACTTGCTCCCTCATTCCTTTAGGTCTCCAAAGAACATTTTATAAGAGGCCTTCCCTGACCACCTTTAATTTTGTGTGTGTGAATTCAAAAAATATTTATTGATATTGTTTCAGGTACTTGGAACACATCAGAAAGCAAACAGATCCCTGTCCCCATGGAGCTTTCAGTCTAGTGTTTATCCTACTTCACCTGAGCACTGTGACCCTGGGCACCTGTCTGCCCTTCAGGTACCCAGTGAGGGAATAAGTAGGCCTGGCACAGATGTAGGTAACACACTTACTGTCCTGTAGATGCCAAACAGGAACCCCACCTGACCCCACCCCTCCCCAATATAGGGCTGGAAGTTAATTTTAAATAAGAAAGCACACTGGGGATACTGATTATTACATTGAAGACAGTATCCAGTGACGTCTTTCTTTTTCAGTTTTCTTTACAGCATTTATCTTCAACTGACACATGTTTAATAAATGCATTTATTGTCCACCTTCCTCATATCCTCATTGCTAAGAATATAAGCTCAGTGAGAGCAAGGAATTTTGTTTTGTTTACTCAAATTAGTGCCTGGTACATATTAGGTGCTCAATAACATTGGCTGAGAGAGTGAATGATGACATGTGACTTGTTTCAATGAGCATTTATTTTCCCAAGCATCTCTGAAATATTTTATGAATCATGAAAGTTAGTATTTTATGATAACAAGACTCCTGAAGAAAGTTCAGATTTTAAAAACTTACAATTATCCATCCAGAATATTATAGGTGGTGGTAATCCAACTGGGGGCCTGCAGGGAAGGACTAAAGGTTGACCATTTCGAAGTGTCATTGGTTCAAGTTTTTCTTTGGTCCATAACGGTGACCCTATTAAATATAATATTAACTAGTAAGTTCTGCTGTATTGAAAAATCAAAAGATACATTTTAAAAAGATATATTTTATAAAATGTTCATCTTTCTAATCTTTCGGGAAAAAAGTAATTCAGAATGTATATACATTAAAATAACTAGAAAATATTTGTTTGACACAGGACTGTAAAGTAAAATCCTGGTGTGGCGCTGTGGGTTAATATGCCAGACTGCAAAGCCATTTGAACTGCCAGATTGGTGGTTCAAGCTCACCAGCTGCTCCTGGAAAACGCTATACAGGGTCACTATGGGTTGGAACTGACTCGATTGCACTTAACAACAACAAATAAAGTAAAATGAAAGTTAAAAAATTCTCTTTCACTGCCAATATAAGTATCAATTGTGAATCAGTAATTTTATGTCTAGGAATTTATACTAAGTACATTGCTAAAATGCTGCTGTTATTCTGTGGAGTCAGTTCCAACTCAGTGACCCAATATGCAGTTTCCAATGAGTGGCTTGTTGGGTTTCAATTGTTGACTTCGTGGTTCAAACCGACCTTGCCTTCTAGTGCTTTATCCCACAGCGCCACACCTCGGATAGTACATAATTTTGCTACAAGTATTTTCTTCTCTCCCAAACAGAAAACACCTAAATATCAAAAGAAGTTTTGTCAAATAAATAATTGCATATTTATACCTTTTAATAATATATAACATTATGTATGAGGTGACTTCAAAAAGTTTGTGGGAAAATTCCATTATCTTTTCATGTCATTTGCCCATGAACTTTTGAAGCCCCCTCATACATATTTTCCCAGGAAAAAATGGAAAAAATATTTGAGCAGTGATTAAGATTCACAAGTAATTTAAAATTTTCTTTTTGGTTTTTGTGTAATTAATTTTTATACAATAAACACGTATTACAAATGTAATAATTTTATTTAAAAATGATCATGACAGCAAATGGTCACTGTTCTTTTAATGCATCATCTTGAGGTTGTTGAGATGACTTAGGTAATGAGCCGTGCTAAACAGCTGGAGTAACAAGGAATGGAGACCACTCGATTTTCCAGTGAAATTTGAAGCCAAAAATATTTAAGAAACAGAACTTAGATCTGACCCATTTTATACTGAATTTATGTCCATCTAACCAGTGGAAGTTTAAGGAGCCCTGGCAACGTAGTGGGTTATAAGTTGGGCTGCTAACTGCAAGGTCAGCAGTTCAAATCTACCAGTTGCTCTCCATGTGAGAAAGATTAGGCTTTCTGTTCCCATAAGATTTATAGTCTTGAAACTCTATACGGGGTCACTATGAGTCAAAACTGACTGGATAGCACACAACCACCACCACCACCAGAGGAAGTTGGTTTGCACATAAAATACATGAGGAATAGCTAACTATATCGCTTCTAAGGAGAAACATTTTTCTGAACCTTGTCTTTTGACTCAGTACCTGCATAAAAGACACATGGGATTATCAAAGCATGACGTTAAGAAATGTCTTAGGATAAAGTAGGAAGGAGTAATCATTTTCATGCAAAATAAAGTCAGAAATATTGGAAGCAATTCTATTATTTGCTAGTAATAGTATTTGGCTTTCATAACAGATGCTGAGATTTGGAGCAATGCTTTAGAAAGTGTCACATTCGGCTGACAAGCCTCACTTACTGGATGGGCGAATGACAATATTGTTGGAAACTGCAGCCCCACGTTCATTCCTTGCTGTGCACTGATAGATGCCTTCGTAGGTCTCTGCTTTCCCCTCACTCATGATGTTGATTATGAGGGTTCCTGAGCCAGGGCTCATGGTGACCAGAGGGTCCTTATCTATGTCAAAATGAGTCCCATTACGAGTCCAGGAGAAACTGCCCAAATACAGGAAGCATTAAACTGGTTAATGGTCTAGAAAAATAGCATTATATCTTCTGGAAACAAATTCCTGGAAGTTTTGTGGGTTTCTAGAAATAAGTTCTAGATGTACTATTTAGTAAAAGAGCAATAGGTCCCCATATCTGAAACATTTAATTGAATTATGACTTGGAAAAAAAAAACAAAGGATTGGTTGCACATTTTAAGGGACAGGTTTCCATTAGACTCAGCCCAAGTCTGACTCAATAATGAAATCATGCACACAAATTGCCTGTCACTCTTCAAAGGGAAAAAAAGGGGGAGCAGGTCTCCCAGGCACACACTCTCAGAGCTGTATTAGCATTTTTATTGCAAACTCCGTTGTTTATTGAGTTGATAACCTGTCTATAAAACTTTGCTCTGGGCTGAAATTTGACAAGAAAGGCCTCTGCAAGATATATATATATATAATTAATCAGAGTAGTTTCCAGTTACGAAAATGCAAAGAAAAAAAAGATATGTTCATTGTTGTTTTAAAAAATAGGCTGTTCCTGGTTACAAATAAGATCTATTCCTAACTGTGTTTTTCAGTCTTTAAATGGAATTTGAGGGTGAATAAAAAATAAGAACAGGTGCATACAGTATATTTCGTTGACAACGGGTTTAGTGCAAGAGAAGGGGCACTGGTGGCACTGTGGGTTAAGTATCCAACTGTTAACTGCAAGATTGGTGGTACAAAGCCACCAGTCACTCTGCAGGGGAAAGATGAGGATGTCTGCTGTGATAAAGATGAGCAGAAACCCTGGATGGATGGATAGGGTCGCTGTGAATCAGAATCGACTAGATGGCTGTAGATTTTTCTTGGTTAGTGCAAGACAAGACTCCAAGCCTTTTCAGTGACTTAAAAGCTGCACATGCAAGTGACAGTAATAATGATGAAAAATTTATTGCATGTTGGGGTGGGTTCGATCATTTCAAACCCTTTACATAACATTAAAGAGCAAGTTGTGCATCCCCCACTCCTGTCAGTTTGTCTGCTGAGGTGGCTTGAGTGTTGCCATGGCGCTGGAAGCTATTTTAAATACAGCAGGGTCACCATGGTGGACAGGTTTCAACTGAGATCGACTAAGACAGACTAGAAAGAAGGAGAGGAAGTCTACTTCTGAATGGTTAGCCACTAAAATCCTTATGAAATGTAGCAGAACACTGTCAGATAGAGTGCTGAAAATGAAAACATTATGAATAGCACCAGAATAGTGTCAGATATCGTGCTGGAAGATGAGATTCACAGGTTGGAAGGTACTCAAAATATGCCTGAAGAAGAACCGCCTGCCCAAGGTAGAGTTGACCGTGATGAAGTGAACGCTTTCAGGACCTTCATTTGCTTATGAGGCACAACTCAAAATGAGGAGAAACAACTGTAAACATCCACTAATAATTGGATCATGAGATGTATGAAGTATGAATCTAGGAAATTAGAAGTTGTCAAAAATGAAATGGAATACATAAATTGTATATCCTAGGCCTTAGTGAGCTGAAATGGACAGGTATTGGCAATTTTGAATCTCACAATCATATGGTTTAACATGCTGGGAACGACAAATTTAAGAGAAATGGTGCAGCATTTACCATAAAAAGAACATTTCAAGATCTATCCTTAAGCACAACCATGTCTCTCTTAGGATAATATCAATATGCCTACAAGACCAGTTAATTATGTGCTCCAAACAACAAAGCCAATGATAATAACATTGAAGAATTCTACCAACTTTTTCAGTCTGAAATTGATCAAACATGCAATCAAGTTGTATTGGTAATTACTGAAGATTGGAATATGAAGCTTGGAAACAAAGACAAATGGTCAGTAGTTGGGAAGTATGGCCTTGGTGATAAAAATATGCTGGAAAGCGCATGACATAATTGAAAGACAAATGACTTCTTCATTGCAAATACCTTTTTAAAACAACATAAAAGGTGACTATATACATGGACCTCATAAAATGGAATTCACAGGCATCAAAGTGACTACATCTGTGTGGGAAAAGACAGTGGAAGAGCTCAATTTGTTGTTGTTGTGAAGTGCCGTCGAGTCGATTCCGACCTATAGCAACCCTGTATAGGGTTCTGAGGAGTCGATGGTGAGTTTGAACTGCTGACCTTTCAAACAACTTTGCAGTCTGGTGCATTAACCCACAGAGCCACACCAGGACACAGCCAAAACAGGACCAAGGGCCTTCTTATAGATGCCTTTCAGTTATAGTCTGGGCTTAATAATTTACATCACTTAGGGACTCCTACTTGGGCATTATTGTTGTTAAGTGCCATCGAGTTGCACTTCAGTATAGGGTTTCCAAAGAGTGGCTAGTAGGTTTGAACTGCCAACCATACAGTTAGCAGTCAGGTGCATATCCTATAACGCCACACCAGGACTCCACTTGGGTAAGTCAGTACCAGAAAATTCTTTCTCAGTTGATAATCTGTGATAGTTAAATAAAATATTCTTATATTATGATCCAGGATAGCCTAATAAAAGTCAAATAAAATATATAATATTTAGAAACTTTCACTTATTTATTACTTAAAAGTCCACATTGCAATTTAATTATAATAATTCAACTGTGCAAAAGGCCCATATATTATAGCTCATCCACTAACAAATTTTCTAACATTACTGGATTTCATACTCCTCATCTATAAAATATATTGGCTGGGCCTGATTATCTCTAATGTCCCTTTCAACTCTATAAGGCTATGCTGTCCTCATGCCAGGATCCATATGGAGATTCCTGAGTACTGAACCCTGCCAAGTTTGGAAAGCCATTTAGGACCACTATGGAGCTAGAGAGGAACCTTGGTTTTGCAGTGAGTTAATCATTCAGTAGCTTGCTAATATGTCGGTCATATGAATCCACCAACAACCCCACGAGAGGAAGATAAGGCAGTCAGCTTTCATAAAGCTTTACAGCCTCAGAAACTCCATGAACAGTTGTACTTTGTCCTAAAGGGTTGCTATGATTTGGAATTGACTCAATGGCAGTGGTCTTGTTGGTTGTTATTGTTGTTTTTGATGGAGATAGAAGAGATTTTTGAAGCCATCAAATTGAACATTTTCATTTTACAGATGAGGAAAATGAGGCCTGAGAAAAGGGATTTGTCAAGTTAAAAGGCCATTTATGTCAGAACCACTACTGGATGGCTCTTTACCCATCTTTCCACCATATCTGAGCATACTATGAGTACAGAAATAGAGCAATTCAGGTTTTAAAACTTATTTTTAATAAAGCATACAGACAAAACAATGAACCTTCAAATGGTACTTTCAGAATGGCTAAGACCAGATGCATTAACGTCCCTATCTTGGAAGGGGCGGACCAAGGAATTTGGTTAGATTATAATCTGAAGTTGTTTGCATGGAGCACTATCCAACCACAAAAGAAAGTGCCTTGTATAGGCTAATTTGTTCTACAGAGATTTCTGAATTCATTTCTATATGTAGAGACTTCCCTGACAGATTCCAGCACTGTAACAAAGCACAGAGCACACCCACCTTGGAGGAGGTTTCCCTTTGGCCTCACACTGGATTACGATGTTCTCCCGAGGGTCGATAATATAATCTTTAGGAGACTGTTGGGTGATGGTTGGAGGCTGTACCACTTAATCACAGAAAGAAGAACAATGTAAAACAAACAAATAAATCATTTAATATGATAATATCAACCTTTTTTTTTTTTCTATACAAAAACTTTTTACCCTAGACTATATATGGTACAAATGTATTTAGTAATTTCTACTGTTCAGCCATACAAGTTCAGCAGACTTTCAAATAAAAGTCACTTAACTCTGGAAAGACAAGCATGACTTCCTTTTTTGGTAACTCTATGGCACTCACAAACACTCGTTTCCACACTAGAAGTTTGGGGAAATAATTACCAGCACAAGCCTAGTATGGAGATAGTTTCTTTTCTGATGTAACAATGAGAAATTCCTCTGACAGATACATTGATTCAAACAATGTTTTTCAAGGAAATTTATGTATGAGGTAAGGTGTATTTCTCTTAAGGAAAGAATAACTCACTAATAGCTTATCAACGAGACAACATACATTAATAGATTTTGTTGTTGTTGTTGTAAAGTCATGTCCAGTTGATTCCAACTCATAGCAACCCTGTATAGTGTTTCTGAGGAGTGGCTGGTGAGTTTGAAGCGCCCACCTTGTGGTTCAAACCAACCTTGAGGTTGAGTGCTTATCCTATGGTACCACACCAGGACTCCTAATATACTTTGTTGTTGTTAAGTGCTGTTGAGTTGGTTCTGACTCATAGCGACCCTGTATAGGGTTTCCAAGGAGCAGCTGGTGGGCTTGAACTGCCGACTTTGCAGTTCAAACGCCTTTGCAGTCCCACCAGGACTCCTTTAGAAACACATAAATTTGTGAAGTTAATATCAAAACAATTGTTAAGTTGGAAAACCTGACATGTCTTATTAAAGCTAAAGCAATCTTAGAAGATAAATGGACTTGAGGAAATTCTTTGCTATAGGAGTTGATATTTCCATCAAAATTTCCAAAATGATATCTGATCATCTATTATTGAATCTTAGAGGATAAATGTCTCTGACACAAAACAATCTGCTCCAAAGAAATCTGGCATCTGTACCTCCAACTCACCTCAAATTGTTCTATGAGATCAAAATCAGAGTGTTAGAAAAGGAGTGAACTGAGAAATAATATAGTCCTACTTCCTCTTCTGATGCTCAGCACAGCAAAATGACTTGCCTAGGAAGGCCCACAACAGAGAAGAGAAGAGGACTCTCCCAAGTAGCTCCTAATAGAGAGCAACCATCTTCTCTAATTCTTAGGAGAGCCATTTACACAGACCAGTGGTTCTCAACTGGGAGCAAGGTCTAGAGACATTTTTAATGGTCACAAATGGGAGTGCTACTGGAGTCCAAGTATGCTGATTGGACAACTAACTCCCCACAACAGAGAAAATTCTGGCAACAAATGTCATAGTGCCACCACTGGAAAATCCTGGCACTAACCCTGGTGTGAATGGTGTGCCTAAACTATGCCATGCTGTGGCCCTGACCCAGTCATTTTCTCCTGCATCACACAACTTCTCCTCGGCTTACTCTTGAACTTTCCTCCCTCTTCCTTTATTGTTGTGTCAGATCAGCTCATTTTTTCATTCCCTGGATCTTCCCTTTCCTCTCCACCCACGTTCTCTAGTTCCTTTCTGAAACTTCTTCTACTTGTCAACCAAATATTTTCTAAAATGGAATCATTGCTCTCTGCTCTTGTCCCTCTTTCCTTCAGCAATTGTTGTAGTGCTTAATTTATCACCTTCACCTCCAATGTCTTATAAATCTGTAAACATGGTTCTGTTCTCTTATCTTCTCATCAGTCTTATTACTGTCTAATGAAATGTCAAAAGAAACACCGAAAGAATAAATTAAAAGCTAAACTCATTATTGCTTTCATTTATTGTTTGCCGATAAACTACTATGACCACTATCAGTAGCAGGCTATTGGACAGTAACCGTTTTCCCTTCCTTTAGCAATATGCTGTTCATCTTTTCTTCCAGCTATTAAGCCAGTTGCTCTTCCCAACGTCTACAACCATGCCTGGAACCCTTGTTTCTCCAGCCCTGTCACTGTCCACTGTTGGTTAGTTGTTTGTTCTGTTAGTTAAGAACTGATCTGTTTAACACTAGCTATGAGTCCTCAAGTGAGTTTCTTAAATTCTGTGAGCTCTTGTTTCCTCTGGGCAGAAATGGAGTTTAAAAGTAGCATCTACCTTTCAGGGTAGCTGGGAGGATTAAATAAAACAAGCTGTGTAAAATTCTTATTCGTATATGCCAATGTTATATGTAATATTAGTGGGTATTGCACTATTTTCATGACTGTACTTATTTGGACCATGTTCTTCTCTAAGTCATCCTTGATATTCAGGGAGGACAGCATTTGAGATAAAGGCAGGCTGCATGGCATTCTACATGCAGGGAATGGTGGACAAGGGCGAGTGGCTGAGGATATTCCCAGAAGCGAATCAGTCTTATACTTTGCTGGGAGTGCTAGAAGTACAGAAGTGGTGGTTTTAAAGTCAGAGTTTCTAGTCATATGCCTACAGCAGGGCTGGTTTAGATGTCACTCCAAACTGCCAGGAGTTTACCTTTCTGGAGACATATGCTTAGGTTTCCTGCAATTAACAAATGCTTTTCAGCAGTAAAGGAAAAGGAGATTTTATACAACTTTCCTGGCTGATCCAGTATCAAATGAATTTTCAGATGCTTGAGAACAGACTAATTGTTTTCCAGTCAGATGACAGATGCGGCCCCACTATCGGAGGCAGCAGGGGTCTCTTCTTAGAAGAAGCCACTCAGAAATGACAGGAACATGGGTGGCTTGTCTTTTACACAATCAAAACCATAGTCAAGTTCGCTGGGCTCTTGTACTGATGACAACCAGAAACACTAGTATACACAGCCTGAAGGCTCAAGAAGTGTAAAAGGACACCCAGCTGCTGAGTAAGGTGTGGCTTCTGCATGCACCTACCTTCTGAAAGATACTAAAAGACATATCTTTATTCTAGCAAGCACTTGTTGCTGTGTGCTGCCAAGTTGGTTCCAACTCATAGTGGCCTGTATAGGGTTTCCAAGAGCAGCTGGTGGGTTTGAACTGCCGACCTTGTGGTTACCAGTCCAGTGCATATCCTACAGAGCCACACTATGGCTCCCAGCAAGCATGTAAGAGCATTTAAAACCAGAATCTTTCTCTCTAAATGTGATGAATTTTCTCATTGTGTTACATCAGATGTGAATAAGCTGGGAGGTTAGTAGAGCAGCATATGGGTAAAAGGAAAAAAAGCAATCAATACCTGTGTCTTCAGAATTCATGCAGGTAAAATATTAAGTGTGCTTTGTACTATATAAATTCAAGGTTTAGCCACAGAAATAAAACACATATGCTTAAAAAGACACGAGTCACAAGGCACAGTATTAATTAGAAAATAAAGACATGATCAGCTCTTCACACTGCCTAGTAATTTGTAGAAAGACACTTACAATCTTCAAGAAGTTTTGCTTTTCCCCCATCAATATCAGCAGGTGAGTGGGCAAACAGGATTAAAGAAAATCATATGTTAGTAATAAGAACGTTAGAACCCTCAAGATAAAGGTACATCTCATCTATCTGATTTGATCTTAAAAAACCCGAACAGTATAGCGAAGGTTGAGGGTTGCGAAGTTGTAAGAGAAAGAAGCTTGCATTAATGGTTTGATTTACTCCTACAGCATCTCTCCACATAAACATATGGAGGAACAAAAGCAATGCTGTAGGGAAAAGCGATTCTTCTAGAAAGAAGAATGGCTAATTCCATTCCATACGTGTGCTGGGCAAGTAATTATGTTCAATTTGAGAGATAGTTGAAATCTACAATTAATCTGAGTTGTCACATACTGTGTAGTGTCTGATCCTATTATCCCAGACATCACTATGCACATGGTAATAACACCTAACAATGAGACACTGCTGTAGTGCTCCATCGAAGGTAAATTCAGCAATCGTTTTAGATTTTTAGATTATTATGGTGAATCACCAAGTCTGTAACTGAGCTTTCCTGACTGTTAGCATATTTCTGCTTCAGAATTCCCCAACCTCACAGAGAACTGCTGATACCACACCAAGGAGCAGCCCTATACTAGAGGAGGGGTAAGAGGAATAAGGGCAGGGCAGAAATTACATTAGCATGCAATTCAAATGATTCTGCAATGTTGCCTGTCATTCCTCTTTGCAAAGGTTAATGCAGGCATGCCTCGGTTATCCCAGACTTTCTTTTCTTCATGGATACGCTTGCTTCTTCTCCATTAGCAGAGGTAATTGAGTTAGCCGTAGGTGACTGTTTTTCTCTGATTGTTAGATTGAGCAGTCCGATTAAGGGAGAATATATTTAACACAAGAAAGAACAAAAGTATTTCTCTCAAGAGCTTGCTTCTTTCTTGTGCTTCTACTAGGGCATTTCCACTCCGATGGCCTTCAGCAATCATATTTATATAAATATGCAAGTTGCTGTTGTCTTGTGCCACCAAGTCGGTTCTGACTCATAGCAACCATATATATATATATATAATTGAAATTAAAGTCATTGGATTAAATAATTTTTCAAAAGAAGAAAAACACTGCATTTTATTGTACTTCAGGCACAAAAAAAGAAGGCAAGTAAATGTAGGACAAGCCACCTCTCTTCTTAGAGGCAAAGCAACCTCTGTGGTGAGAAAAGGACACCCCAACAATTGAACAGTCCTAGGAAAATGCTATCTCCCTTGCACCTTGGAAAGCTTGCCGAATCAATGTTCTATTCAGGAAACTAATGGATTCAAAGAGGTTGGGTAGATTAGGGATAAAGGGTAAATCAATTCTGAACTGCAGTAATTGCCCAGATTTGAAATTCTGTTTTCTATTGCAGGAAAAGTGACCAGTAGGAACCTAGAATTATCTTCATTTGTCACAAAGAAGCCACTCAGATTAGGGAGAGTGAAGCATATAGTACTGTGGTGTTGTGATTAAGTGCCATTGAGTCAGTTCCCACTCGTAGTGAACCTGTATAGGGTTTCTGAGGAGAAGCTTGTGGGTTGGAACCACAACTTTACGGTTTACAATACAGTGCTTATCCTACAGTGTCACATCAGGCAAAAATCACACCAAACCCAAAGCCATCTGAGTGGCTTTCAACTCACAGCAACACTATAGAGGATTTCCAAGATTATAAATCTGCACAGGAGTATTTTCCTCTTTCTCCCAAGGAGTGGCTGGTAGGAAAAGGGCAGGCACAGGAGCTGTTGTTTACTACATTTGAAGTAGTATTTTTGAAGATTACCTTATTTTACTCTCCAAATTTGAATCTTGGTCTTTGATCTCCATTGTTAATTCACAGAGGCCTATTCACTAAGATTAAGGAGCCCTGGTAACACAGTGGATTATGAGCTGGACTGCTAAACTCAAGGTCAGCAGTTCAAATCTACCAGTTTCTCTTTAGGAGAAAGATGAGGTTTTCTGTTCCCATGAAGATTTACAGCCTCAGAAATCCTCTCAGGGCTGCTATGGGCAGAACTGACTCAGTGGCACACGACCACCACCGCTCACTAAGATTGATGTCATCTGCATTCCCTAGTCCTACACTCATATTTAAAATGCATAAGTAAAATGGGAAATCTGCATTGTCTGAACCCAGAGAAATAAGCTATAGACATAAGCTTGAGGAGACAGAGGAGCAAGGGGATTGAAACAGTCCCTATCCCCACAGTCCTTATCCCCAATCTTTTCTAGGACCCTCTCAGCATCTGAAGTGGCCAGTGGATGTGTGGAGAAGTCTCCATGATCACTTTAAAGTGATTCCTCTTATTTTCTAGTTGATCAGGGCAGTTTCAAAACTCACTCGTTCTCAGACCAAATGCCCCCCAAGGTACACAAAAGACACCTGACTGGGGAGGAAGGTAATGACAGGGAGAGGACAATAAGAATAACCATTGCCTTGGCCATTTCTGTGGCGTGGGTCTTTATAAACACCAGGTGTTGAAAGTAAAAGCCATATTAACTTTGATTAGCTTTTCAGCTTCACACAGACCTTCTTCAATTCACACAGCTCAGAGTGATGGTAAATGCTGGGGAGGTTTTGACTCCCGGGCCTAACAGCTTTGAAACGTTAATACTTACGATCAAGAGGTACTTCCAGTGCACTAATCATCTGGCACAGGAAGAGAATCAGGGGCACTCTGCCTGCAGATAAGCACTTCTTTTTTGGCATTATTTTAAGCTGCATTAGCTTAGCTCCTGCTGAGATCCACAAGCTGAATTTCCTTTTCTTCTTTCACAAAAGGGTTCTGTGCACTGTTGAAATAATGTTCCTGCAGGGTGCTGAAATAGGATGGAATAAGAATAATAATTATAATGTATTAAAAACACGGAAATGAAGAGCGGAAGTCGGTAGCACAGAAGACCAGTCCTGTATTATACATAAACTCTATAAGGGGAGCTTAATGTTTAAATATTTAACTCTCAAGGCTGGAATAATCATTTATTCATAAATCAGCTAAAATCTGTTCAGAAATATCGGTAGCAAGGTAAAGCGAAATCTTTCTGCTTTGCCATTCTTACGGTTTTCCCTTTTTAAATATTTGTATTGTAACTGCTCTCAGAGGCCAAGATGTCTTTCTTAAAGATCATGAAAACGTGGCATTTAAGTGTGTTGGAAACAATCACTTTGTTGCCCTTAGAGGGGAGGCCTAATGCCTTTTCTACTCGAGAGTTGATCTCTGGGAAATTTCAGGGCTTTGTGGACATTTGCTTCAAACTCAAAATATAGATTTACCAGCTGAACCAGCTACAATTCAGGCTTTCCTGACCTCTCACCTAGAAAACCTAAACAGACCTCACTGCAGCCACCCTCCTTACTGGTGTTGGATTAACTTCTTCCTAAAGGGCTTTTGCTAGGGATTGAATTGTGTTCTTCTAGAACAGAGGTGGGGAATGTCCAGCCCGTGGACTGTATAAGGCTCATGAAAGCTTTTGGTCTGGCCTTGCCAAAGGCAACGACATTTCCAGCCAAGACATAAAGGATGTTTGATCAAATATGTTGTTGTTGTTCTGTGCCGTGGAGTCAGTTCCAATCTTAGTGACCCTGTACAGGGTTTCCGAGGCTGTAAATCTTTACAGGAGCAGAAAGCCTCATCTTTCTCCCGTGGAACAGCTGGTAGTTTCAAACTGCTGACCTTGCAGTTCGCAGCCCAATTCGTAACCACTATGCTACCAGAGATCCTTTGATCAAATATAGCAGGCTAATTTTTAAGTTTGTATGAAGCAGCTATCAAGAAATCAAACGACGTATTGCATTAGGCAAATCTGCTGCACAAGACCACTTTAAAGTGTTGAAGAGCAAAGATGTCAGTTTGAGGACTAAGGTGCGCCTGACCCAAGCCATGGCATTTTCAATAACCTCATATGCAGGCAAAAGTTGGACAGTGAATAAGGAAGACTGTAGAAGAATTGATGCAACTGAGTTAAGGTGTTAGATGTACCGCCAAAAGAACAAACAGACCTGTGTTGGAAGAAATATAGCCAGAATGCTCCTTGGAAGCCAGGATGGCCAAACTACGTCTCTCATACTTTGGACATATTATCAGGAGGGACCACTCCTTGGAGAAGTATATCATGTTTGGTAAAATGTAGGGTTTGAGAAAAAGAGGAAGACCCCTAACAAGATGGATAGGCACAGTGGCAGCAGTGATGGACTCAGGTTTAGCAACAATTGTGAGATTGGCTCAGGACCAGATACAGTGTTTTTCTGTTTTGCATAGGGTCTCTATGAGTTGGTATAGACTCATATGGAAATAGACTGCCACATCTTTCTCTGAAGGACAGCTGGTGGATTCAAACCTCTAACTTTTTGGTTAGCAGCCAAGTGCTCTAAACCCATAAAGATGACAGCCAAGGAAAGACTATGGGACAATTATACTCTGGTCACATAGGATTGTTATGAATTGGAACTGACTTGATAATACACAACAACAACATAAGGGACCTACCAAATAAAGTTCAATATATCCTTAAATAGGGATTAAAAAGACTCAGTGTGCTGGCCTCAGTTTATCCTACCAACTTAGTGTTATTGTTGTTGTTAAGTGCTGTCAAATTGGTTCCAACGCATAGCGACCCTGTATAGGGTTTCTGAGGATAAGCTGGTGGGTTTGAACCGCTGACCTTGCAGTTCAAATAGACCCTGCAGTCCAGCATACTATCCTGCAGCACCATACCAGAACTCCCATCCTTCTATTTCCATTTATAACTATTTTTTAAAAATAAATATAAATATAACTATTTTTTTGTTTCTTGCTTTAATGATTTGTTTCTATTTTCTTTCTTTGGCCAATTCTTCAATATGCTTTGAATAGTCCCACTTTGTTACCTTGGATTCAATCCCTTTAGCCAAAAATGCCTTTTTCACCTTAACAGTGCCAGCTTACATGGAGTAACATAAGATTCATGGCAACTCATGTGTCAGAGTAGAAATGTGCTTCCTAGTGGTTCGCAGATCAGTGCTGATCCTACAGAGCATCTTATTTCTAGGGAAAATGAATGAAGAGAAGAAAGAAAAAAGGGAGACTTAAGATCTTTCATAGCTTAAGATTTTGATATAGCTTTCAGAATCACAGCAACTCGCAAACTGAAACTTGCTCTCCAGTGTAGAGATGCTAAAGCAAATGGAAGAAATGAGGAAGTCCAAGAGCTGAACAGAAAATTTCAAAGATCAGCTCGAGAAGATAAAGCCAAATATTACAACAAAATGTGCAAAGATCTGGAATCAGAAAA